ATGTCAGTAGGACAGAGCCAGGCTCTTCTCAGTGTCGTCCAATGACAGGACAAGGGGCAATGGGTACAAGCTGGAATGTAGGAGGTTCCAGAAAAACATTACAAAAAACTTTTTCACTGAGAGGGTGATAAAGCACTGGAACAGGCTGCACAGGGAGGTTGTGGAGTCTCCTTCTCTGGAGACATTCAAAACCCACCTGGACACGTTCCTGTGTGACCTACTGTAGGTGATCCTGCTCTGGTGGGGGGGCTGGACTAGATGATCTTTCAACCCCTGATATTCTGTGATTCTGTGATTAGTGCTTCTTCAAACACAGACAAGCTTGTTTCTGCATATCCAACACCTTCAAAAGGAGTTATTTCCCCTTGCCAAAGTCACCAGCTATTTCAGCGACTATTCATATTGTTAAACCTGACACTTCTGATTGATGTTTCCATGAGCTTTTAATTGTTTTACTCTCAGTGGACTTCCAGCATGAAATTACCCAAAAACTCACTGTGAAAAATAAGCAACATACGTGCTAAAGTAAAAAAAGGTTACCTGTGCTGCATTTACTGATATATCTGTACTGCGGATTAAACAGAATTGCTTTGGATTAAATGTATAACATGCTCAAATTTGCAGACCAGTGGCTTTCATTTGAAATAACTTTCTATGGACAATGTAATTTTATTTTGCTTTAGTTCTGCAGTAGGCCTCTTTGCATCTTTCCCAGTAACAGATGTCACTGTACAGGTATCGCAGCAAATAGACTGCAAGGAACTGATTAGCACAATGCCATTGGCATTGTTTGATGCTGTTAGCTGATAAAAGACCTTGTATAAGCACAGAGGGTCACCTTGTCATGCGATACACTAAACAACTTTTACACTGTTTCCTTTGGCCACAACATCTGTGCAATCTCTTGCTAGCATCCCTGCAGCTGGCACTGCTTCATATACTCCACACCATTAGGCAGGTGTATGACTCATTTTACATTGTAGTAGGTCCTTGTTTGCTACTGCAGCAAACCATTATCACAAAGAGTGTCTGTAATAATCTCCATAGATAGAGTCCATTATCAAGATACTATTTAATCATCATTTTGTTTCCGTGTTAGCCTCCTTTATCAATAACATTTAACTACTCTCCACTCAGACTTAGTTATTTATTAATGCCTATGGTGTTTAGGGACAAGTGTCAGTGTCAGGTTGGCTACGTGTTCACCTACTTCCTGCCTTAGAAATTATAAAACCGTAAACATAAGGTACTTCACCTGCTTTTTAGAGCATAAATACATGGGTTTTGCCATTACTCAGCGGGGGGTGCCACCTCCTGAACTAAGTCAACGTACCTAGGGCTACCTCAGGGGCTCACAACAGGTCAGGGAATCTCCAGGCTCATTATCAAGCACCAGCCCTTTTAATCATTGACATGTTTGCAGCAAGGCTGGGCATGGTCTGGGGCATTAGGGAGGCCAGAGCACTACTCCCAGTCTGCAGGAGGGCAGCTGAGCTATTTGAGGGCGCAGAGAGTTTAGCTCTTAATGAACCCTTGGCATTGAAATGGCCATGGACATCCAGACAGGCTGCAGAGTGAAACATCTCTCTGTTGGCTGGGATCAGCACTATGGGCACAGGTGCCCACTAGAGAATGTGGCACGCCACGTGCAACACAAACTATCTCTGATTCATTACACACCTAATTGCTTGTGTAATTTTCATTTTCCTGAAGTGTTTAATCCTGGAGGCAGGTGCTGGGCTTAAGCTCTAGGCTTGGCTAAGGAGCAGTCACCAGATTGCAGCAGTTTTACTAATGAATTACAATTGCTAATTATTTGTAAGGTTAAATTAATTATTTAATTAAGGTTAAATAAAAAATGAGAGTAAAGGAAGCTACATCCACAGCTGCCAAGCCTAGTCAATCAAAATAAAACTTTTTTTTTCTTCCCAATGAAATTCCTTGCTGGAAAGTTAATATATTAATAGCAGTTGTAGCTAGATGTATTGACAGCTAGGGAAGAGATGTCTTTTCAATATCACTTCTGAAATCAGCAGAAAGCAGGAACATGGTTTTTTCGATAGCCACCAAAAGAATCAAAGGGCAGTTCTACGAAAAGATGTGGAAGCAAAAGATGTCTGTCCCCTGGGGGCTGGTTAGTGAGGGGCACCTGCCGATGGCCCATGGGCAAGCTTTGACTTTGGGGTCTGTATTTTTTTCCAAACATGTTTACTTACTGCATTTAGTTACATTTCTCACAGTTAGTGTTGTTACAGTTGTATTAGAGGGCTATTATCAGTTTTTTTCACCAGGTAAATTAAAAAACTGATTCCTGTGTGCTATCCTAATCCTCTCCCCTTGAAAAAATCTTTGGTATATGCATAGACCAATTCTTTTTTTACCCTCTCGAGTGACTGATACATTTCAAAAATCCGCTATCACAGATTCCGCCTCCCTTCATTCCTCCCTTGAATCTGATAAAAAGATTTGGTGACGCTAACCACATGCTTATCTGTACTATGATCTGACTGGACTGTTCAAACAACAGAAAAATACAGTTTTAGTAAAACTTCAGAATTACAAGATAACGAGTACTGACATACTACCACACTGCACACTTAACAGAGACTTTGAGTCTTCCAAGGTATGGTGGCTCTTTACCAAGACCAAAACTTTTGCTTGAATGACATAAACACATATTAGAAGCTTAAACATCAAGACATTACAGTCGTATAGAAATAATCCCACAAAAGACTGCAATGCAAGTTAGTTATGAAACTGAGCCATTTTACCATCAATGGAAATACACAAAAAATACTTCAGGAGGCCTTAGCTCTGCCCTCAGTGAAATCATATAG